ACTACAGCATATAAGCCAGTTCTCCAGCCCTATGCTGTACTTTCTAAAAGATTGCTAGAATGAACACATCAATTCCAGGCTGTGGGACTGATTACCTCAAACTCCTCTCCTTACACATTTGTGCTTTGTACTGGACTGATGAAGCCACTGTGTGGCAAAACATTTCTTCAATAAAGATTCCCATATGTTGCAAAAGTGTCTCAATCTTCAAGGAAATCAAAATTGGACATAAAGAACAAGGTGATGAGTCGCAAAAAAAAAAAAAAAAAAAAAAAAAAAAAAAAAAAAAAAAAGTAATGAAAGACTGGATATCAGAGTGGAAGGAGGCAGTGTGGAGGAAGTGAATGTTCAGATATTTGAAGTGGATTTGTTGGCAGAGAGTCTATGAAAGATGAAGTGAACCATAGAATTGACGAGGGAAAAAGGTGAATGGTGCACCGACACATTTGTGTAGACAGAACATTATCCATGGAAGCAAAAAGGGGAATTTATCAGAATATAGTGGTACCAACACACTGATATGGGTGTGAAGCATAGGTTTTAAATATTGCAGCAAAGAGGAGGCTGAAGGTAGTGGAAATGTCATGTCTGGGAGCAATGTGTCATGTGAATATTATGCAAAGAATTCATAGTCTGGAGATCAGGAGGCACGGAGTTACTAAAAGTATTATTCAAAAGGTTTAGGAGGGGTTACTGCAGTGGATGACTTGGAGGGTGTATAAATCTGTAGTGGAAGGAAGACCGAGTAATAATTGTCCTAGACAAGGTTGGAGGGAGTGGAAAAAGGTTTTATATGCAAGGGACTTGGACATCCAACAGGTATGTATGGGGGTACTAGATAGGAATGGAGGCAAGTGGATTTTATGACTTGGCAAGCTGTTGGAATGTTAGTAAAGTAACATTTGTGAAGGAATTCAGTGTAACCAGCTGGTTGGACCGAGTCCTGGAGGTGGAAAATACAGTGCCTGCACTCTGACAAAAGGGTGGGTATACTGCAGTTTGAAGGGGCATCTGAGCTGTAATGTCAGTGTGTCTGGCAAGACGGTGACGGTGTGTGTGTGTACTCACCTAACGGGTCGCAGGGGTCGAATGCTTCTGGCCCCGCCTCTTCACTGATCGCTACTAGGTCCTCTCTCTCCCTGCTCCATGAGCTTTATCATACCTCGTCTTAAAGTTGTGTATGGTTCCTGCCTCCACTATATCACTTACTAGATTATTCCACTTCCTGACAACTGTGACTGAAGAAATACTTCCTAACATCCCTTTGACTTGTCCGAGTCTTCAACTTCCAATTGTGACCCCTTGTTTCCGTGTCCCCTCTCTGGAACATCCTGTCTCTGTCCACCTTATCTGTTTCACGCAGTATTTTGTATGTCGTTATGTCTCCCCTAACCCTCCTGTCCTCCAGTGTCGTCAGGCCGATTTCCCTTGACCTTTCTTCGTAGGACATTCCCCCTAGCTCTGAAACTAGCCTTGCTGCAAACCTTTACACTTTCTCTAATTTCTTGATGTGCTTGACCAGGTGTAAGTTCCAAACTGGTGCTACATACTCCAGTATGGGCCTGACATACACGGTGTACAGTGTCTTGAACGATTCCTTACTAAGGTATCGGAACACTATTCTCAGGTTTGCAGCAGTTATATGGTTGATGTGTGCTTCAAGAGATGTGCTTGGCGTTCAACTCACCCAAAGATCTTTCTCCATGAGCGAGGCTTGCAGTCTTTGGCCACCTAGCCTATACCCTGTCTGCGATCTTCTTTGCCCTTCCCTGGTCTTCATGATTTTGCATTTGGCGGGGTTAAATTCAAGGAGCCAGTTGCTGGACCACATGTCCAGCCCATCCAGGTCTCTTTGTAGTCCTGCCTGATCCTCATCTGATTTAATTCTCCTCATTAACTTCACATCATCTGTGAACAGGGACACTTCTGAGTCTACCCCTTCCATAATGTCATTCGCATATACCAAAAATAGCACTGGTCTAAGGACTGACCCCTGTGGGACCCTGATCTTGTTGCCTCCCTGTCAGGTATTCTCTGATCCATTGCAGTGCCCTTCCTGTTACACGCGCCTCATCCTCTAGCTTCTGCACTAATCTCGTGAGGAACTGTATCGAAGGCCTTCTTGCAGTCCAAGAAAATGCAATCAACTCACCCCTCTCTATCTCGTGTCTTACTTCTGTTACTTTGTCATAAAACTCCAGAAAGTTTGTGACACAGGATTTGCCTTCCATGAATCTGTGCTGGTTTTGTGTGTGTGCACGTGTGCGTGTGTATGTGTGTGTGTGTGTGTGTATGGTGTGTGTGTGTGTATGGTGCATGTATGGTGTGTGTGTGTATGGTGCGTGTATGGTGTGTGTGTGTGTATGGTGTGTGTGTATGGTGTGTGTGTGTATGGTGTGTGTGGTGTGTGTGTATGGTGTATCGTGTGTTGTGTATCGTGTGTGTGTGTATCGTGTGTGTGTGTATCGTGTGTGTGTGTATCGTGTGTGTGTGTATCGTGTGTGTGTGTATCGTGTGTGTGTGTATCGTGTGTATCGTGTGTATCGTGTGTGTGTATCGTGTGTGTGTGTATGGTGTGTGTATGGTGGTGGTGTGTGTGTTGTGGTGTGTGTGTGTGTGTGGTGTGTGTGGTGTGTGTGTGTATGGTGTGTGTGCATGGTGTGTGTGTATGGTGTGGTGTGTGTATGGTGTGTGTGTGTGTGTATGGTGTGTGTGTGTGTGTGTGTGTGTGTGTATGGTGTGTGTGTGTGTGTGTGTGTATGGTGTGTGTATTGTGTGTGTATCGTGTGTGTGTGTATCGTGTGTGTGTGTATCGTGTGTGTGTGTATGTGTGTGTTGTGTATCGTGTGTGTATCGTGTGTGTATCGTGTGTGTGTGTGTGTGTGTGTTGTGTGTGTGTGTGTGTGTGTGTGTATTCGTGGTGTGTGTGTGTGTGTGTGTGTGTGTGTGTGTGTGTGTGTGTGTTGTTTTGTGTATCGTGTGTGTGTGTGTGTGTGTGTGTGTGTGTGGGGTGTGTGTGTGTGTGTGTGTGTGTGTGTGTGTTTGTATGGTGTGTGTGTGTGTGTGTGTGTGTGGTGTGTGTGTGTGTGTGTGTGTGTTGTGTGTGTGTGTGTGTGTTGGTGTGTGTGTGTGTGTGTTGTGTGTGTGTGTGTGTGTGTGTGTGTGTGTGGTGTGTGTGTGTGTGGTGTGTGTGTGTGTGGTGTGTGTGTGGTGTTGTGTGGTGTGTGTGTGTGGGGTGTGTGTGTGTTGGTGTGTGGTGTGGGGTGTGTTATGGTGTGTGGTGTGGTTGGTGTGTTGTGTGTTGGTGTGTGTGGTGGTGTGTGTGTGTGGTGTGTGTGTGTGTGTGTGTGTGTATGGTTTTGGTGTATGTGTGGGTGTTATGTGTGTGTGTGTGTGTGTATGGTGTGTGTGTTGGTGTGTGTGTTGGTGTGTGTGTATGGTGGTGGTGTGTATGGTGTGTGTGTTGGTGTGTGTGTGTGTGTATGGTGTGTGTGTGTGTTATGGTGTGTGTGTTGTATGGTTGTGTGTGTGTATGGTGTAGTGGTGTGTATGGTGTGTGTGTGTTATGGTGTGTGTGTGGTAGTGGTGTTGTGTGTGTGATGGTGTGTGTGTGTATGGTGTGTGTGTGTATGGTGTGCAGAAGGCAAGAGGATTCACTGCTCTGTTCCAGTATTTCTTCAGGTGGTAGTGATGCACTAGCTCTCACTTAACCGGAAGGTAATTGGACCCTCTTTAAGTGGCTTACCCATGGGAAATCTGGGGGCACATCTGGTGGTAAGAGTGCTATTGGAGGTTGCCTGTGGATCTGCCAGTAACAGGTGTACAATGCATGTCATTCATCCTAGGTCTCCCTCCATCATTAGCTGTATGATGATGGCTCCACTGATGTCTCAATGGACAATTTTACCAAGCCATGCTCAGTTAATTCTGGAGGTGCTACGTAAGTGATGCACACCTGCTAAGGTAGTGTTTTCCAGTAGACACTCCTGGTGTCTATGGTGAGCACTGTTGGGGTGGTCTGTGGATACTTTCCATTTTCAAGGATGCGGATGTGAATTTCACCAGGTTTTCCGCGACCCTCTTCTCTGATGATGAAATAGGGAAAAAAATAGGGTTATGTTCCAGACACCTCCAAATTTTTCATTTTTAATATCCTACTAGGTACAAATTATTACAATTTATCTCATCAAAAATTCTAGCTGTTAGTTTTTAACAAGTGTGTTGAGAGGGCTGGTGTGGCACTACTGGTCTGTGGTTCTTAAGTTGATGTAGATGCAGAGTTGTCAGTAGTTGATGGTTATACTGGTGTGCTCAAGTATTCTGTAATTTATCTCTAACCCTGCAATACTGTATACACTCAGTGCTGTTATGACCCTAGTGGGTTTAGCACTTCTTTTTTTATTTTAATACGTAATAATAATAATAATACTGTATACAGCCAACAGTAAAGCATCAGTTACTCCAGACCCCATTTCAGAGCAATGTTTCAAAAGGAGGAGCACTACAGTTTGATCTAATGGCCCATGCTAGCTAAGTCCTTCTCATATCCAACCCTTCTCTTGGAGTTCTCTAACCTATTTTTAAAGCTATCCACAGTTTCAATTTCAATGACCCTGCATGGAGGACTGCTTTACTGGAGAAAGTTTTTTACACGTGCAAAGCATTGTGTACCTCTAATAATAAAGGTTTAATTGTTTTCCCAAGTCTTTATCACCACATGAAGACTCAGTGTGTATGAATTTAAACTGAAATTTTAAATTCATACACACTTTACAACTTAATTCTTGATGAGGCCTGGTCACAGATCGGGCCCCAGGGGTGTTGACCCCCCGGAACCCTCTCCAAGTATTAATTTTTTAAAGTTAGGTGCATATCAATTACAATGCTAATTTGAGGAAGTGAGAAATGTAAATACATGAACATTTTATATCACTAATATTTTATTTTTAAATTTGTTAGGCCAGTATGGCAATATTTTGAGGAAGCAATGAACACCATGCCTCACATTACAATATATTTCACTGGTATTACTATTCACATTTAATTATTAACAAATAAAAGCTGCCAAAATTCATTATTTTGATGAATGTATTTTTTCCACCACTAGCTGACTGAAGCCATACTCTACCAATAGTTCATTTTGTTTCAATCAGGAAAAAACTCTTAAGCTCAAAGAGGGGTCACATAGCAACTAAGGAATGGAAGTATTCGGGTTCAATCCGGGAAGGGGAAGACATGTCCAGCTCCTTGGATCAAGAGACCTTCACCGGCATCAGGGCACCTCCCTCGAGGGGATCACTAGCTCAAAAGTTACCTTATACCAATTTTAAAATCACAAAATTTGTGTTTTTTCTCTAACGTTTTTACTTTTGTCATTGATGTACCTGTGGCATGGACAGCCTCACTTAAGAATACAAAAGTAGGTGGTAGTTGAATTTCTTTAAAATAATTATCCCTTTCTTAAATATACAAGACAACCATCCACAAAGTACAAGAATGATGAAATGCACATGAAAGTTATTGTTAAAGAAAAATTAGAAGACCCTTTACATGGAAGAAAAAATGGGCCAACAGGAATACTTGTCTCTACAAATTGGTTACATGTACTAAAAATTATAAAATTTTATGTGGAAAATATACTGACTTTTTAATTAATAAATAAAACACTAGTTAATACAGGTAAATACTTAAATATGTACTGTAGAGCAATAGGAAACAATAGGACTAGCACTGTCATATGAGAAACTAAGATAATATATACTTTAAATGGGTTTCATAATGAGAGGCTCAAGAAAACCAGAAAAGTGACATACATAAAATGGGGAACTGTAGACAAAAATTTAATACTTAGTTTTTTGTGCTTGGCCACAATCACTAGGAACAGTTCAAATATTAAGTAATCTTTAGAATGTAATGAACAGTGATATATGCTATTATTCTGTACAGTGAATCAGCCCTCAGATACAATACTTACCATCCCCTACTAAAACAATTCACTCATTTAGAGTTCTGTTCCTGAAGAAACTGGAAAATTGATGAAAAGTCCTTCTCAGCTAAACCAGAGTTGCACATCACTCGGTAAATCTGAAAATATTTGAAACATCTATTTATTATTAACCCTTTCACACATGGATTTTATTTTTTTATAATAATGCTTTATTTCTGTGGGCAAACAGATAATGTAGATACATAGGTAGATTTTTTTTTTTTTTTTTTTCCAACAAGTCGGCCGTCTCCCACCGAGGCAGGGTGACCCAAAAAAAAAGAAAGAAAATCCCCAAAAAGAAAATACTTTCATCATCATTCAACACTTTCACCACACTCACACATTATCACTGCTTTTGCAGAGGTGCTCAGAATACAACAGTTTAGAAGCATATACGTATAGAGATACACAACATATCCCTCCAAACTGCCAATATCCCAAACCCCTCCTTTAAAGTGCAGGCATTGTACTTCCCATTTCCAGGACTCAAGGCCGACTATATGAAAATAACCGGTTTCCCTGAATCCCTTCACTAAATATTACCCTGCTCACACTCCAACAGATCGTAGATACATAAGTAAAAATAGTAGGAACCAAAAAATGCCACTAATTAAGCAATGCATTTCGGACAACTAATCATAAGGCTTAAAACTACTTATAAACTAGACATAAAATTGTATTCTTGTGTGATTAAATAAAATCACATGTTCAACAAGAAAGGCAGCTAATGACAAAGTGGTCAATTACACAACATTTACATATTATTTCAACAGGTTCAAAGATCTCCAGTTTATAATCTTGAGTTATAATCTTGTCTCAAGATTCTCCTTCCACTTTAGTAGTAATACTGCCAAATTGTTCTGTGGCTTGGTTGGGAGCAAACTTGGCTCATGTACTGAGGGTTTGTGGTTCAATTCCTGGCATAGGTGGAAATGGGTGGCATGCTTTCTTACACCTGCTGTCCTTATTCACCTAGAAGTATGAAGGTACATATGTATTAGTACACTGTTGTGGGTCACATCACAGGCAATAAAGTATTTTACCTTAGATACAGCTGGGATTTGAAATGAGGCAAGGTAAAAACAACAGCTCTTAGCCTGGAAAACTGATGAGTAAAAAAATACAACCATACTTGTCATACTTAAAAAAATTGCGCCGAGAGCATCTCTCGAGACAAATGTATAATCATATGAGGAAGATTCTAAGGCAACAAGAAGTTTCTCCACTGCACCAGAATTGGTGGTGCTGTGTGTGATTACCCATTTGCAGTTACAGATGCATTACTACATTCCCATCTTCAGTGTTTAATTTGTTATGTTTTCTTTTAGTTTTCCATGGTTGTAGCACAAACAGTACTACTATACTTTTTCTTGCAGCCTATTCCAACAAGTTACCGCTATTGGTAAAGAAATACTTTCTAGCATCTTTTGACACCTACTGATTAATATACAACCATGACCTTGTGGTATCTATGCTAGTGGTACAAAGAAAATGGTCTTATTTGCTTCTCTTGCATCCTTTTAATGAAGAAAAGAAAAAAAGTAGTGCCAAGAATGAGGTGTGAAGGGATAGGAGACAGTATTTCTTATTCAAAAAAAAAAAAAAACTTAATTTTGAGCATTCCAAAACTGAAATATTATTCGACTCTGGAAGAAATATGAGTGAGTGATATCACCATACCTGTACTGTAATGTAACATGTTGCATACGACTCGGCTAACCTGATGAGCAAGAGAGCCCAAAGGAGTTGGGGTGAGACTCTTAGTTGCTGCATCCTGAGCTAGACCCAGATCCTTTGCCATCAGTGCTGTTCCAAAGCCACCCTGTTTTAAACATGACATTAAAAAATCATATATACATATATATATATTTTTTTTTTTTTCAACAAGTCGGCCGTCTCCCACCTAGGCAGGGTGACCCAAAAAAGAAAGAAAATCCCCAAAAAGAAAATGCTTTCATCATCATTCAACACTTTCACCTCACTCACACATAATCACTGTTTTTGCAGAGGTGCTCAGAATACAACAGTTTAGAAGCATATACGTATAAAGATACACAATATATCCCTCCAAACTGCCAATATCCCAAACCCCTCCTTTAATGTGCAGGCATTGTACTTCCCATTTCCAGGACTCAAGTCCGACTATATGAAAATAACCGGTTTCCCTGAATCCCTTCACTAAATATTACCCTGCTCACACTCCAACAGATCGTCAGGTCCCAAGTACCATTCGTCTCCATTCACTCCTATCTAACATGCTCACGTACGCTTGCTGGAAGTCCAAGCCCCTTTCCCACAAAACCTCCTTTACCCCCTCTCTCCAACCCTTTCGAGGACGACCCCTACCTCACCTTCCTTCCCCTATAGATTTATATGCTTTCCATGTCATTATACTTTGATCCATTCTCTCTAAATGACCAAACCACCTCAACAACCCCTCTTCTGCTCTCTGACTAATACTTTTATTAACTCCACACCTTTTCCTAATTCCCACACTCCGAATTTTCTGCATATTTACACCACACATTGCCCTTAGACAGGACATCTCCACTGCCTCCAACCGTCTCCTCGCTGCTGCATTTACCACCCAAGCTTCACACCCATATAAGAGTGTTGGTACTACTATACTTTCATACATTCCCTTCTTTGCCTCCATAGATAACGTTTTTTGACTCCACATATACCTCAATGCACCACTCACCTTTTTTCCCTCATCAATTCTATGATTAACCTCATCCTTCATAAATCCATCCGCCGACACGTCAACTCCCAAGTATCTGAAAACATTCACTTCTTCCATACTCCTCCTCCCCAATTTGATATCCAATTTTTCTTTATCTAAATCACTTGATACCCTCATCACCTTACTCTTTTATATGTTCACTTTCAACTTTCTACCTTTACACAAATTCCCAAACTCATCCACTAACCTTTGCAATTTTTCTTTAGAATCTCCCATAAGCACAGTATCATCAGCAAAAAGTAACTGTGTTAATTCCCATTTTGAATTTGATTCCCCATAATTTAATCCCACCCCTCTCCCGAACACCCTAGCATTTACTTCTTTTACAACCCCATCTATAAATATATTAAACAACCATGGTGACATTACACATCCCTGTCTAAGACCTACTTTTACTGGGAAGTAGTCTTCCTCTCTTCTACACACCCTAACCTGAGCCTCACTATCCTCATAAAAACTCTTTACAGCATTTAATAACTTGCCACCTATTCCATATACTTGCAACATCTGCCACATTGCTCCCCTATCCACTCTATCATATGCCTTTTCTAAATCCATAAATGCAATAAAAACTTCACTACCTTTATCTAAATACTGTTCACATATATGCTTCAATGTAAACACTTGATCTACACATCCCCTACCCACTCTGAAACCTCCTTGCTCATCCGCAATCCTACACTCTGTCTTACCTATAATTCTTTCAATTATAACCCTACCGTACACTTTTCCTGGTATACTCAATAAACTTATTCCTCTATAATTTTTACAATCTCTTTTGTCCCCTTTCCCTTTATATAAAGGGACTATACATGCTCTCTGCCAATCCCTAGGTACCTTCCCCTCTTTCATACATTTATTAAACAAAAGTACCAACCACTCCAACACTATATATCCCCCTGCTTTTAACATTTCTGTCATGATCCCATCAGTTCCAGCTGCTTTACCCCCTTTCATTCTACGTAATGCCTCGCGTACCTCCCCCACACTTACATTCTGCTCTTCTTCACTCCTAAAAGATGGTATACCTCCCTGACCAGTGCAGGAAATTACCGCCTCCCTTTCTTCCTCAACATTTAAAAGTTCCTCAAAATATTCTCGCCATCTACCTAATACCTCCCTCTCCCCATCTACTAACTCCCCTACTCTGTTTTTAACTGACAAATCCATACTTTCCCTAGGCTTTCTTAACTTGTGTAACTCACTCCAAAATTTTTTCTTATTTTCATTAAAATTTCTTGATAGTGCCTCTCCCACTATCATCTGCTCTCCTTTTGCACTCTCTCACCACTCTCTTCACCTTTCTTTTACTCTCCATATACTCTGCTCTTCTTATAACACTTCTGCTTTGAAAAACCTCTCATAAGCTAACTTTTTCTCTTTTATCACACCCTTTACTTCATCCTTCCACCAATCACTCCTCTTTCCACCTGCTCCCACCCTCCTATAACCACAAACTTCTGCCCCACATTCTAATACTGCATTTTTAAAACTATTCCAACCCTCTTCAACCCCCCCCCCCCACTACTCATCTTTGCACTAGCCCACCTTTCTGCCAACAGTTGCTTATATCTCCCCCGAACTTCCTCCTCCCTTAGTTTATACACTTTCACCTCCCTCTTACTTGTTGTTGCCACCTTCCTCTTTTCCCATCTACCTCTTACTCTAACTGTAGCTACAACTAAATAATGATCCGATATATCAGTTGCCCCTCTATAAACATGTACATCCTGGAGCCTACCCATCAACCTTTTATCCACCAATACATAATCAAACAAACTACTTTCATTATGTGCTACATCATACCTTGTATATTTATTTATCCTCTTTTTCATAAAATATGTATTACTTATTACCAAATCTCTTTCTACACATAGCTCAATTAAAGGCTCCCCATTTACATTTACCCCTGGCACCCCAAATTTACCTACTACTCCCTCCATAACATTTTTACCCACTTTAGCACTGAAATCCCCAACCACCATTACTCTCACACTTGATTCAAAACTCCCCATGCATTCACTCAACATTTCCCAAAATCTCTCTCTCTCCTCTACAATTCTTTCTTCTCCAGGTGCATACACACTTACTATAACCCACTTTTCACATCCAATCTTTATTTTACTCCACATAATCCTTGAATTAATACATTTATAGTCCCTCTGTAGTGTATGTGTGCCTCTGGCAAGAGTGATGGAGTGAACAGTGGTGAGAGTGTTTTTTTGGGTCACCCTACCTTAGTGGGAGATGGCCATTCTGTTAAATAAATAAATAAATAAATAAATAAATAAATAAATTTTTTTTTTTCAACACAATGGCCATCTCCCACTAAGGTAGGGTGACCCAAAAAAACTCTCACCACTGTTCACTCCATCACTCTTGCCAGAGGCACACATACACTACAGTGCAGATGCCCCTCAAAAGTGCAAATATCTCCAACCCTCCCACCATGGTAGGGTGAAAAGAAAACTGCCATCAATCATTTAATAGCCATTTGAAAGAAGTGTTCTAACAACACAATTCAAATGAACTACAACATCCCCACCCCTCCTTCAGAGTGCAGGCACTGTACTTCCCCTCTTGATGACTAAATCCAGCTAACCAGTTTCTTTTAATCCCTTCATAAATGTTACTTTGCTAATATTCCAAACAGCATGGGTTTAAAGCAGGTCACTCCTACCTCCCACAACTACTGGACCATCATGACATGGTCTTGGATGCTCTGGAAGACAAACAAAATGCAGAAAGCCTTTGACAAGTGCAGTCATGGGGTAATAGCACACAAATTGCATGTCAAACGAATAACAAGAAAAGTGGGTAGATGGATCTATAACTTCCTAACAAATAAAACACAACGATTAATAGACAACAGAGCAAAGTCAGAGGCAGCTACAGTGAAAAAAACTGTGCCACAAGGTACAGTGCTCACTCACATCCTTTTCCTCATCCTCATATCTGACAGAGATGTATGTCTTCTTTTACTGATGATAAAAGAATTTGATGGATGACAGAGTCGTCCATCAAAGACACTGCAAATCTCTAAGCGGACATTAACCAACACTTTAAATGGGCAGTAGAAAAAATATGAAGTTCAATGAAGACAAATTTCAATTACTCTGCTATGGAAAACTCAAGGAAATAAAAGCTGGATTGGAGCATAAAACAAATTCCAACCACACAATAGAGCGAAAACTAACGTGAAGGACGAAGTGACAATGTCAGAGAATCTCACTTTGAAAGATCACCACAATGTATCTACCATCTGCTAGGAAAATGATAGGATGGATAATGAGAACCTTCAAAACCAGAGATGCCAAGCCCATGATGATTCTCTTCAAATTGCTTTTCCCTCTAGGCTGGAATACTGCTGTACACTAACAGCCCCTTTCAAGGCAGGCAAAATTGCAGTCCTTGATAATATACAGAGAACTTTTATGGCACATGTAAATATAAAGTACCTACATTATTGGGAATGGTTGAAGTCCCTTGATTTGTACTCCCTAGAATGCAGATAAGAAAGATACGTGATAATACACAATTGGAAAATCCAAGATGGACTAGTTCCAGATCTGCACACAGAACTCGCTCCCTATGAAAGCAAAAGACTTGGCAGGCAATGTAGAGGCACCACGAGTATGCTAAGAGACAACACAATAAGTGTCAGGTGTCCAAGCCTGTTCAATTGCATCCCAGCATACATAAGGGAGATTACTGGGTTGACTGTCTTCAAGGAGCTGGAACGGCACCTAAAGTCAGTACCTGACCAGCTGGGCTGTGGTTCATAAGTCGGTTTATGTGCAGCCAGCAGTAACAGCCTGGTTGATCAGGCCCTGATCTACCGCGAGGCTTGGTCGTACACCAGGCAGCGGTGTGTGTGTGTGTGTGTGTGTGTGTGTGTGTGTGTGTGTGTGTGTGTGTGCACGCAGGTATAACACACACACAAGCCTCCTGAATGCTCAAGTCCCTGGTACCCTTCCATCCAACCTTTCCTGCAATGATCTCCTTCCTTCCATCATGATTTATGCTCTTGGTCATCCTATTCTCACGTCTATCAATCCATTATAAAAAGAGTAATATTTTAACCAAGAACAAAGTCATGAAGAGGGAGGAATTGTAAGGACTGCAAACTCCCAGTGCAAAAGTCATAAGGCGAGCATTTTATCTCTGCACTAACAGTACAGTTTCAACTACAACTCATAAGTACAATTACATTTTCATACTGTTACATTCTTAAGTGCAAAATTTAGGTTTTAATATAAATCATCTAAAAGATTATTTACTAGAACAAACCTCATAATTGTTTGAGGAAGGTACATTTTCAAGTACCCCAGGGACGGGATTGTAAAGCTCACTTGACCAGCACCTTCCAGTAGCTGCATTAATAATGCTGGCCATCAGTTTTGCCTCTAGACCTAACCTGCAACAGGGGTCATTTCATACAGTAACCAGTGTTCTAAAGCCCTTTACAGCATTTCCTAAGGAGGATAATCATATTTAAAATACAAACTTATAATTATCCTATTCACCAGTTGTTGAAATAAGATTAACATCTTAATGACTATTAATTTCTAATTTAATTCTTTCACTGTCATGACCCCCAAAATTAAAAGTATTGACAGAGTTGCAACTTAAAAAAAAAAAAAAAAGTTATCTTCTGAAATGGTAGAATCATTTTCCGAGGGTAATGGCACCAAAAATATAATCAAGAATGATTGGTCATAGTTTAGACTGTCCCAATAATTGAAGCAGACCTAGTAAAAATCTATAAAACAGATTAGGGCTGAAAGGGAGGCCTACCCTTTCTCAGGGAAATCATGAAAAAATTAAATATTTCTGACACCTGAGGCCTATTTCAAGCTATATCAAGTCTGATATTGACCAAAATCATCTTTCACTAATATCTTTTAGTCAATTAATTGATACCAAGAAACAGGCAATAAAACCATAAAAACCACCCTAGACAACACCTCAAAGTAGCTATGTTAAAACAACAAAGACAAAGATTTGCTTACCCCATCATGCACTAAATGGGGCAGGATTTTTTTTTTTTTTTTTTTTTTTTTTGCTGTGCACATCCACTACACAGACCCATTCTCTCATATCTAGGCCAAAATTTAATAATCACAGCATATTTGAGGGTGATGTGCTTAAGGTGTAGATCTACATAAGCAACACCAGTGTCAGTAACAGATCTATATAGGAGATAGTGAAAGGGTTAACAAGTGCATTGTGTCATGTATACAATCATTGATCAAGAATTTAAAGAACAAAAAGGCACTTTCTCAAGTATCAGCTACTTGCATGTAATGTAAGATTCAAATAAAATCTTGTTTAGAAATACGTATACCACAATAACTTGATTCTTCTTTTAAATTGTTTCTGATTTAGTTTAAGCTATCCATTATACATTTTGTCATATTTTTTCCATTTTGTCTCTATACACCTATTAGTATATGAAGTTTACTCTATACTAGACTACAATTATTAACAGTATTCATCCATCTTTTAACCCTTTGAGAGTCAAAGCCGTAATTCTATGCCTTGTCCATAGGGTCCAAGCCGTAGTTCTACACCAAGAGCTCAGCTCACTCAGATAAGCTGCGAGTGGTAAATTTGGGCCTAGATATGAGAGAATGGATCTATGTGGTAAGTATGCACCATATAAAACAAATCCTGCAGCAAGCAGTGCACGAGAAAAAAAAAAGCTGGAACCGTGTTTTTAAGCCAGAGACTTTACGATGTATTTTCGTATGGTTTTTATGGTTGCATTCAGGGTTTCTTGGTCTCATTTGATAGAAGATATATTACAGAAATAGAGATGATTTTGATTGGTTTTAGTACTGAAAATAGTTTGAAATTGAGCTCAAATTAGCGGATATGTTCGAATTTGCCGATGTTCAAGAGTAAACAAATGACTTTCACGCGTCCAATACATGTTACCTGGTGGGTCTAATATATGTTCACGAATGCACTGACATTATTTATAAAATTATTACAATATTGTATAACAGTAAATTTTTTTTTTTTTTTTTTGGTGTGAATAAAAATTCTTTGTGAATAAAAAATCAAAATGGAATTCATTCGTAAAGCCTGGAAGCATAACTAATAAACAGACGAAATGTTACTTTAGTGCCAGGAATGCCTGTATTGTTTATTCTGGACCCTATTTGGAAATTGGAATATTTTGAATTTTGTGTGAAATTATCCAAATTACCAATTTCTGATCACTTTACTGGGTAGTTGAAATAGTTGACTGGGCAGTTTCTTGTGCTCAGTTGATAAAACAGAAGTAATACTAGCAAAATAGCTAAGAATTTGGTCGACTGGAATAATGTAATTGGCCTAAAATAGGAGTCAAAGTGGGCAAAATCGCCAATGCGTAAATATCGCTGACGCATTAAAATTCACATGTAATTTCGTCAATTTTCCATCAAATTTTGTACTTTTTGTCTTATTACCTTCAGAAAAAGATTCTACCATTTCATAAGAAAAAAAATTTTTTGGAAAATTCTTGGACCCTGTGGGCCCTTAAAGAGTTAAGCAAGTTTCTTTAATATTAATGTACGTTACCTCATCCCAAGGTTCATGGTTTCAGCAGTTCCGATCATAGAGATAGCTAACAGCATGTTGTTGCAGATCTTGACAGCTTGCCCATTTCCCACTCCACCACAATAAATAATATTTTTGCCCATGGCAGATAATAGTTCTTTTGCAGCCATAAATTCCTTTTCATCTCCTCCAACCATGAATGTAAGAGTCCCAGCCTTGGCTGCATTTATACCTGAAGGACAATGAAACAATTTCAGGATGAAAGAGTAAATACACTGAGTATATTCCACATTATATTTTTTTTAAATTAATAGTGTCGGATGTTATTTATACAGCAGCAGTCTTTCTGAATATATGCCTTAGGAGCAGTAGCTACATAATAGCTTTCATCTAAACAGTTCAATGTGTACACATTTACATGTTTTGGGTTAAAATAATCACTACTTAATAGACATTTTTCACAAGTAGGAAAACAACAAGGAACGAGATTAAGCAAAGTTCATCAAGAGGTCAGAAGCAAACAGTACATACTTTTTTTATATAAAACGTTCTGAATTCATTGCTTCATCAATTAAGGAGCATATTCAAGAAGTGGGAAGTGTGACTTCCTATTAACAAAGTACAAGAACAGACTGACTAACAAACCTCCTGACACAGGGGCATCCATAAAGACAGCACCTTTCTTCAAAGCAGAGCCGGCCATCTCCTTGGACACACTGGGATCAATGGTGCTGCTGTCCACAATGAGTGTTCCAGGCTGTACTGATCTATTGGTATTGAAAAACATTTATACCACCAACAATAATACAGTGTAATGGTACATACACACAAAATTTTAAATAAATCTATGCTCTTTAAGACTATTCAACACATGATACAGGACAGTTATTCCTACAAATTCACAGCTTTTGATTATCCAAAGTTTTTACTAAGAGATAACCTGTGAACATTTAACCTGTTATTGTATCCCATTTTGCTATTCCAAAACATTACTTAAGGAAAACCTTAAGTATTTTTTTTTGCATTTTTTGTTTTTGCTCACAATCTTGGTTCTTGTTCTTCCTGATGCTGGTACAGCATTAACAACCTTCTATCTATTCTTCAATCTTTTTCAATGTATTTCTTCATAACTCTTAATTCTTAGAATTCAAAGCAATATAGTAGCATGCTTTAGACTTCCATGATATAACTTATATAATACTCTATATACAGTATTTCTATAATTTAGACCTGTGTAATACAATTTTATGTACAGACATTAAATATATCTGAAGGTTACTGTGAAGTTTCTCATTACATATAATCTATGCTCTCCTCGAAACAATTTTTTGTCTAAAATTTATTTTCAACACTGTCATATATTCTTCATGTTGCTCATTATTTCTGTTTCCTCTACATGGCATTTATCTACATTTATACATATAATACTGAGGTTTTCCCTGACGTTTCTCTCTTTTTCACAACGACTTTTATGGTTTAATTTACAAGAAAGTCACAAAGCTGCTCATCTCAATTACATCACATATAAGAAATTCAACTGTTTGCGTGGCAACTGTTATTTTTTTTTTTTTTTTTTTTTTTTATTATCACACCGGCCGATTCCCACCAAGGCAGGGTGGCCCGAAAAAGAAAAACTTTCACCATCATTCACTCCATCACTGTCTTGCCAGAAGGGTGCTTTACACTACAGTTTTTAAACTGCAACATTAACACCCCTCCTTCAGAGTGCAGGCACTGTACTTCCCATCTCCAGGACTCAAGTCCGGCCTGCCGGTTTCCCTGAATCCCTTCATAAATGTTACTTTGCTCACACTCCAACAGCACGTCAAGTATTAAAAACCATTTGTCTCCATTCACTCCTATCAAACACGCTCAAGCATGCCTGCTGGAAGTCCAAGCCCCTCGCACACAAAACCTCCTTTACCCCCTCCCTCCAACCCTTCCTAGGCCGACCCCTACCCCGCCTTCCTTCCACTACAGACTGATACACTCTTGAAGTCATTCTGTTTCGCTCCATTCTCTCTACATGTCCGAACCACCTCAACAACCCTTCCTCAGCCCTCTGGACAACAGTTTTGGTAATCCCGCACCTCCTCCTAACTTCCAAACTACGAATTCTCTGCATTATATTCACACCACACATTGCCCTCAGACATGACATCTCCACTGCCTCCAGCCTTCTCCTCGCTGCAACATTCATCACCCACGCAACTGTTATATAGTATTTAATTGTACAAAACTTTCTCATATCTCCGTTTCATACACAAACTTTCAACTACATCCATTCCCTCCCTTCACAAAACACTTACTCAAAAACACCTTTTTCTCCGGTATAGCACGATCTTACATGCTGCGAGTTAGGCAGCATGGTGATGATACTATCCACTTTACTTGCAACTTCAGCTGGACTCATTGCAATACTTGCACCTTCATCCTCTAAACGTTCCATAGCCTCAGGACTAACATCGTACGCCACAACACTATGACCCTGAGGAGATACAAAACATCAAGAGCAACAATCAGTATCTTCAAGCAAGACTTTGGAAAAATTATACACATCATGCCATAACCAGCTGTATAAAAACAAAATGGAATAAGACAAATTTTGAGATAACCCATGCACAGTAGTTCTCAAACTCCTTCACTCCATTCTTCCCACGAACAACCCACAATATCCTCCCTTTAGTTTTACCCTAAATGTACACTGTACTGTGCACAAATATCAAAAAAGGCATGTACACACATTTTACGACTTACTTACTTTTCACGTGCATGTATAAATTTTAAGTGAAAAGTTTCATTTTGTATTCTTTACATATAACCTAGTCATAGCTATATGCAACATTGCATTATAAGTCAGTACAAGCAATACAGGATCCTACAGCATAAAAAAACTTGCTTGATACTAGGTGTGTGTTAACATACTCAGTGGGTGTAAGTTAATCTTGATGGCTGTTGTTGTGCCTAAAGTTGAGTATCAACGCTTATCAGTTAATTTTTAAGGTATTGGTACTGGCAAAAATTTTGATATCATTCCATCACTACTTGATACAATATATTTTAAAAAATCAGCTAACAATAAGTAAAATGAAGAAGTCTGCAAACTTATACTGAGTTTGCAAAGAACCTAAAGTCCTAAATCATCATGCATTTATTTCACAGCATATCAGAAGTAAAGATCATGAAGAAACTAATAAAAAAAATTGTTCTTAGTTAAAAAAAAAATTAAGAAAACCACAATCCATAGAAACATCAAATAAAGAGTAGCATATACTGGCATGTACACCCAACTACAGTATTATATTTCTTTGTATAAAATGTATCATACCAAAATAAATTATTATTATTGTGTTAAAATACAGAGCTAGCAAAGTGAAATTTGAAGCACACAATGTTATCTTAAAATTTTGCATTTCACATAATGAACATATATACTTACCTAATTTTAGATAAAGTGGAATATGCACAGTGTACCACCTCTTCTATTCCTTTGTCATGTCATAAGTATTTATCCCATTTTTTAATGCAGACATCTCAGTGCTACTACATGCAGTACACCAGTTTTAGTCTGACATACATAATATACAATTTCTTTAGCATTTCACCATCTAGATACAGCATCGAAAAGTATCTGAAAGCTATTTGAAGTCTGCCTGTAAAACAAATGATTTTCTTACAATTACATCTATGTTGCTTTTTATGCTGTAATTACTCCAAAGTCCCTTTGCTCAATCTTTTCAATATTTTGTAAATTCTGTCAATTCCAATTTTTCTGCCATTTTTCTGCAATAAAGTCAATCATACATCTACCATTCCACTTGTTCACTTTTGCCTAGTCTTCTTACAGAAACCTAGAGGTCTCTTTATTACTTAGTTGGCAGAGAATTTTGTGTCTCATTCAGATGTGTGTGTACATATGAAATAATACCACAGTGAAAATAGAAAATAAAACCAGAATGCCTTCATATGCTTACACACATCTTTGAAGATTGTGTAAGCACATGAAAGTGTTCTGGTTTTATTTATTTTCACTGGTAATTTTTTAATATTTGCAATCATGCATTTTATGTGTGCACATATATTTTATTCACTCTGGAAAATCGTTTATAGAAATTAGAATCATATGCTAAGAACTGAAAGACTCCACTAGTAACATGCCCTCATGAGGACATTTTTCCTCCTATCCCTTTTCATTTTTACCTAAACCAAAAATAATCTTCCATCCATTTTAATAGTTTGCTTTATATTCCAAATATTTTGTAGTTTCCTTAGTCATTCTTGTGATAGTGGGGTGGGAGGAATATCAAAAGCCTACTGGAAATCCAAATCCAAACTGAAATCCAAATTGCAGGAATTTTTTTTAAGTCATTTTGTTTCTTTGAATGGTACTAATTTCCAATTTTATTAACTATTACAAAGAAAATAAAAACCATACAGACAAACCAAACTCTCACCTTCTTTAATAAGTTGGTTGCCATTGGTCCACCCATATTCCCTAGTCCAATGAAACCTACTTTGGCTTGAGAGCTGCATTGTCTCTCACTACCTGCAAAAAGTATACATATATAATATTAGAAAAGCTATATTCACTTATACATTATGTAACAAAATATTAGATTAGATATAAACTCAGTATGCTTAAAAAGAACAATAATGTCAGAGTAAAAGGGGAGACAGATCAGGATGTACATATTTAAATACAAGTTAGATTTGTGGAGCTGGGAGGAAAAAGGGAATAAGTAAGTTTATTCAGGTAAACACAAATACAGTTACATAGATTATCATACATAGCAGCATATGCGTAAAGAACCTAGGATAACCCAAAAAGTCAGACAGAGTAACTAATTTCCACTGGGGTAGGAAGAACATGATTTACTTGTGACTGCTCTCCTATTCCCATGCCTCAAGCTAGTCTTTGCTACTGAAAACTTTAAGCATAACATACCCTGTAAGTACAGTATTACAGTACTGTACTATAAAATCTAGCAAATGCTACTTAGTCTAAATCAGAAAATAAAAGTTTAATATATACTTTTAGTCCTTCAGAAAATACAGTGGACCCCCGCTTTATGATCACCTCCCAATGGGACCAATTATGTAAGTGTATTTATGTAAGTGCGTTTGTACATGTATGTTTGGGGGTCTGAAATGGACTAATCTAATTCACAATATTCCTTATGGGAACAAATTCGTTCAGTACTGGCACCTGAACATACTTCTGGAATGAAATAATATCGTAAACCAGGGGTCCACTGTATTGCAACTTTTTGAGATCTTAGCATAGCTTTAAACTTGAATTCAAAACTGCAATTTTGTTAAGCAATTATTAAGAGGAACATGCTAGATCCTTGTTCAAAATTTTTTGATTCATTACTTTTATGGATCTGTTAGGCCAATCACAGCAAATGTAAACAAATATGAATCTAATGTAAATGAATCTACAGCTGGCAGAGTAACATTAAGGGTTAATATTTAGTTTTGTAAGCTATCTATACCCCAGGAAAAATTCATATTTCTTGTTCAATTTGTTTATTTGGAAATATTAGCCACAAATAGACTTTTATGAGACAAATAATGCTGGAGTTTATACTTGCATCCAGCCAATAAGCAACTCGTGGCTTGGTTGGCAGTATCCTAAGCTCGCACATTGAAGGACCGGGATTGATCACTGGCATGGGTGAAATGTTGAGCATGTTTCCTTACACCTGCTGCCTCTGTTCATCTAGGAGTAAACAGGTACCCAGGTGCTAGCCAACTGTTGTGGGTTGGATCCTGGAGAAGATGATTAAAGGCCCCCCACAGGAGAGTCCCCAATGATGCACTGACTATTGAGTTAACCTGGATGGCTAATCTTCCAAGTTAAATTCTGAACAGAATCTCATCTTTAGTGTCTCATCATACCAATATTTTATTCAGTCATCGATGGAGGTAAACCATTTACCCTCCCTTCTCAGTAAGCCATGTGACTATCTTTTATCACATAATATAACTTTCGCAGACAGTGAATTTGAGCTAAAATGCGAGTGTCACTGTTGCTTTATTATTGATTACATTAGGCGGGGATTAGGATGTGTTTGGTTTGGTTAGTTGCCTGCAAGATTTAAAAAAAAAAATAGTCTTTAAATAATTTATTCTTGAAACAGAATATACACAAAAAATTTTTTTCAACTTCCAAAAACTAAATTATTATTATAATCAAAAAGAAGCGCTAAGCCACAAGGACTATACAGCACCAAAAACTAAAATAATGTCCACTGCACACACCAATTAACATCAGATGTCTTAAATTATAAATTTCATCTGAACTTACACCAACCCTTAAACTAAAGAGGTTGGATTATTTTTTGGTCAGGTTCCTTATTTTCAGATTTGTATAAGATATGATATGTTTGGATTTTTAACCAGGAGAGGGTTCGACCCCCAAGGACAACCCATTAAATTCAGTGCATCGGGGACTGTTGTTTATTTCCTCAAATCTTGTTCCCCAGGATGTGACCCACAATAGTCAACTAACACCCAGATACTTACTGATAAGTGAGCCAGGACAACAGGTGTTTCCACCCTTCAAGGACCCCAATGGAAATAAGTCACTGACTTTTTTGGGTTATCCTTGGTTCTCTACACATGCTATGTATGATAATCAATGTAACTGTGTATACCTTATGGAGATCAAACCATGGACACTCAGTATGCAAGATGAGTGCTCACCTATTTGTGGTTGCTGGGGTCGAGTCACTGCTCCTGGCCCCGCCTCTACACTGGTGAGTTTTCAACTGAGCCACAAGACATAAAACAATGACTATGACAAAACCAACCTAATATTGGACATTTTTTCTGGAATAAATTATCGCCAAACCTATAGGACAGGAGCTCCATAATTACTGCAGTTCCAATACCTTGGGTTGGTTAATGGAGAGTGGATTAAATCTACTACACTAGGGTCATTAAGGCTGCCAACATTTTTCACCACCACATAAGAATATATTTGAATCCCTAAACTAGGGAGCAAAGTAAACTTTCTGCACACAAACTGAGAGGAAATACTCTTCTCAGTGTACACATTCTGCCCCAATGCCTTGAAACAGGAGCTCCTCACCTGTATCAGGGAACCTCCTGACTACATTTATTTTTATAATGATATAATATAATTTGATACAAGTGTAAACTCAGAAGAAAGTCACTTAATATGCAGTAGATTTCAGGCACTGTGACTTTTTTTTGGGTTATCCTAGGTAATACACAGAGTCTACCTGGAGGGTATTCTGGGAATCAATGCCCCTACAGCCCAGTCCATGACCAGGCCTCCCAGTGGATCAGGGCCTGATCAACAAGGCTGTTACTGCTGGCCACACGTAGTCCAACGTATGAACCACAGCCCGGCTGATCCGGCACCAACTTTAAGCATCTGTTCAGTTCCCTCTCGAAGGCAGCCAGGGGCCTCTTGGTGATTCCCCTTATGCATGGTTGAAGGCTATTGAACAGTCTTGGGCCCTGGATACTTACTGTGTTCTCTTATTGTACCAATGGCTCCCCTACTTTTCATTGGGGTATTTTGCACCGCCAGCCCCAGTCTTTTATTTCATAGGGAGTGATTTGTGTGTGCAGATTTGGAACCATTCCTTCTAGGATTTTTCAAGCGTAGATTACGATATCTCTCTCTCGCCTGCGTTACAGCGAATACGAGGTGTCCCGTAGCTCGATCACTAGAGCACTCAGCTCACACACTGAGGTCCGGGGTTCGAGTCTCCTCTGGTACGGCTGAAAAACATTAGGGATATGTTTGTCCCTATCCCTGTTCACCCATCAGTTTAAAATGGGTACCTGGGTGTTAGTGGACTGGTGTGGGTCGCATCCTGGGACAGTACTGCCCTAATTTGCCCAAAATGCTCTACATAAGTGGCATTCTATATAGTAGTATGTCACTGGTGTCAGCTATGGTCTGTATACCTTGTATATATACTTGTAGTAAATAGATATTGTTAAGTCAAGTGCTTCAAGCGTTCCTATGGTTATCCTATGCAATAAGTTACTGACTTTTTTTTGGTTATCTTAAGTAATTTACGCTATATATGATAACTGTAGTTACGTGTACCTGATCTACATAAACTTACAGTTAATAGGTATAATTGTAGCTACATACAGTTAATAGGTATAATTGTAGCTACATACAGTTAATAGGTATAATTGTAGCTACATACAGTTAATAGGTATAATTGTAGCTACATACAGTTAATAGGTATAATTGTAGCTACATACAGTTAATAGGTATAATTGTAGCTACATACAGGGTTTAAAAGGTATAATTGTAGCTACATACAGTTAATAGGTATAATTGTAGCTACATACAGTTAATAGGTATAATTGTAGCTACATACAGTTAATAGGTATAATTGTAGTTACACTGGAGTGTCTCATCAAGACTCACACACACACAGATCCTCTGAGGAAGGCCTCATCACTTTACCTGAGAAGTTACGCCTCAAATGAAGTCTCGCAGCTCGGCGAAAGCCCTTGGAAAATAGGGGAATCCAGGTGGTAGGAGACGCCATGTCCCACCTCTCCTCCTGTCTTGCTGCCACTGATCATCATCATTCATCATTATTCCATCATCATCAGACTGTCTCTCTAATCGCTGTTTTCTTTGCTTAAATGGGGCAACAGTTTAATAATAATACTAATATTACAACATTAATTATTATTATTATTATTATTATAAAAAAGAAGCGCTAAGCCACAAGGGCTATACAGCTACAACATTAATGACAATAATAATAATAATAATAATAATAATAATAATAATAATAATAATAATAGCAATAATAATCTTGATAACAATACTGATAATAATAAAATAATAAATTATAATAATTTATAACAATTTAAAATATAATAATAAATAAGTTTTGCTTTCCCTTTTTTTACCCTGACAGCTGAACAGGGAAAACCCAAATAATACAAGACCACAAAAACCTCTTTGACATACCCCGAGTCCCACTCAATATGTGTAAAAAAAAAAAATGCATGCAAGAGGCCAGATATACTCCAGGTCCAATGATCTAGAACTCACTGCCTGAAGCATAGTAAGGTCCTCCTCTAACTGCCAATTGATTCAGAACTACTGTTAAAGAACAGCTTATTTCCTTAATATAATCCAGACAACAATATGCTCTGTATAATAATATAATAAACAAAAGCAGCTGTCATCCAGTTATGTCCCTGTTCTTCCCTTCAAAGGAGACCTTATGAGTTTAGCGCTTAGTTTTGACCAATAATCATATAATAATAATTACCCTCAAGTGAGGGGCTCTTAACCCAAAGAACTTTTTTGTGTGGAAAATACTGAATATATTTTCCGGAAATACGGTAATTTATAGGTAAACAGATGCCCTATATTGTATTTTTAAAAGAAGTATGTTATCGAAAATAGGAAACCTGTGGCTGGGGAGGTTGGTCGCCATTTTGGTTTTTTAATTGGATACAAGGTTAGTGTAATGGGAAGGAATTTTCGTGTCGAGAGGTTTAAAAATTTGGGGTGACACCTCTCAATAGGAGCGAAAATGTTGGATGTGATTCCTGCATAACTTGAGATATCAGGCGAAGGACAGGACAACCCCCCGGACCTCAGATAAAGCTGTCTAATTTATGTTTTAATTTCTGCCAGTAAAAATTTCATAAATGTAAGCAAAAGGGGGGGTCCGTACATGACACCCTTAATCTTCCAGTCAAATGGTGATTTATGATTAAGTTATTCTCCTTCTGTTATATAAAGTGTGTTAACTATAAAACCTTTTTTTAATTTTAATATACCAGTCCACAAATTTACATATTTACCAGCATTCCTGGTGATGTATATTTCATTTAATTAATAGGTCCAGAGCAACTTGTGGATATGACAGTGGTAGGTATCGAAGAGGGACATTTTTTGCGACCAAGGTGTCCCAAATTCCTACTTGTCTAACTGATAAATAATAATTATCTATGTTCATTTACTGTTATGTATATAATGATACATTCAGATAAATGCAATTTTCCACATTTTGTATATATATTTTACTTAAAACATGTAAACCCAAATTATTATTATAACCAAAAAGTAGCGCTAAATCACAAGGGCTAATGTTAACCCAAAGAACTGGACTAATCTCCCCTTTCTTTGGATTGAACCTGACTGCTTCCCAGGCACTATATGACCCCTGTGAGTTTAGCATTCCCCCATATTATTATTATTATTATAATCAAGGGGGAAGCGCTAAACCCGGAGGATTATACAGCGCCTGGGGGGGGATGTGGAAGGCATTCAGGCTTAATTCGGGGAACTGGAGCACAGATCCAATTCCCTAAATCAAGAGCCCCTCACCAACATCAAGGAACCTTCCTTGAGGGGAGCATTATTATTATTATTATTATTATAATCAAGGGGGAAGCGCTAAACCCGGAGGTGAGGGGAGCATTCCCCCATAAATGTAATAATAATGTCCACGTTCTTCCAGCCTTCCTTCAAACACATGCATAACTGATCTTATAACACATCTTGTCCCATTATATTTCTGCTGTAACTTGCTGTATCTTCATTTCAATCACTCCTCAAAACTGATCACTGAACCAGTTTAAATAACATGTAATTCCTTTGTAATTGATTTATTGTCATTAGATATCTTTCTTGTACCTATGATTATAGTTAACTGGAAGAGAAATCCCACTAAATAATCTGTTCTTAAGTAATATATGACTTACTAATACATTTAACAACTTTTTTGTACGGCTCACAGAATTAAACGTTATTATTATTACTATTATTATTAACGTTATATCTTTTGACAAGCGGACTTCTGGCTTCGTCTGGAAGCTTTAAACCCGTTAGGGTTATACAATTCCTGTGGGAATGGGAAGTAATCAGGTTTGATCTGAGGAAGGGGAGTGTAACTCCAGTTCCCTGGATCAAGAGCTTGTCTCCAGCAATAAGAAATGAGATACTGAACAATTAAATAATTCATCCTTGCTGGGTATGGTCAGTGTGGACCTCTGGCACCTCCTGTGACATCAGTGTCAACTTTCATGCCCCCTCCACCCCCTTACATTGAACCCAGGTCCATTGGTTGAGAGCTGAACCTGCTGCCTCTGAATTATCCTAGTTAGATTCTATATAACATGTTCTATAAGAAATTGTATAGCTAACATTCTTGTACTTATTATTGTAAGCTGATCCTCTCTTTAATGTTAATGTAAAGAACTCAGTTTACCTTATTCGTATTATATCTCCTATTTAAAATGATTTTCACCCTGTTGAGTTACTTAGCAGGGCAGGGGATAGTGCGGGGGTAGAGGGTAGCAAGAGATTGAGGTAGAAAGGGCTGAAGGTATCCTCATCAGAGTTTGTGGAGTAAGTCAGTTGTTGTCAAAAGTCAATGAGAGAGTCCGGATGAAAGGTGGGTCCATCAGCGAGAATGGAAGGTAAAGAGAGAGAGCAGCGGATCAAAGACGACGTTGGAGGTAAATTCTGTGTGCTCGTTGATAAAGTTGGCAGTCAAACAGAATGTGGCTGACCGATACTGGAACCTGACAATTCTCAGAGAGAGGAGCAGGGCGCCTCTCCATGAGATATCCATGAGTAAGACCAGTATGGCCAATGCGAAGGCAGGAGAGAGTAGTCTCCCAACCTCGACACTGATGACAAGAAGACGCCCAGTAACCTATATTCTGTTTAATAGAACAAAGTTTGTTATTGAGCAGAGGAGACGAACGTTGTTGCCAACGGGTGTGAAGGTGGGTACCTATAACAGCAAAATAGTCCATGAATGGAACACTATATGAAACTGGAAGGTCATGTACTGCTGACCGCGCTGCAGTGTCTGCCTGTTCATTACCCTGTACGTCAACATGACCAGGGACCCAACAAAAAACAATATCTTTATGTTTGGTAGAGATACGGCGTAACCAAAGTTGGATACGGAGAACTAGGGGGTGAGGTGTGTCAAATTTTTGTATAGCCTGTAAAGCACTAAGGGAGTCTGAAACAACCACAGATGATGACACAGGCAAAGATGCAATGTGGATAAGTGCTGCAAGAATGGCATACAATTCAGCAGTAAAAATGCTAGCCGAAGACAGTAAATGCCCTCGCACGACGCTGTCCGGAAACTGCTGCGAATCCGACACCGTCAGAAGACTTAGAGCCATCTGCGTACACTGCGATGGCAAGAGAATGAGTGGAAGTGGTCAAGAAAAAGAGAGTGGGAAGCTACCGTAGGCAGTTGGGATTTTGAGCAAGGGAGTGAGAAAGAACAGACTCGAGCATTATTATATATTATAATAAAAAAGAAGCGCTAAGCCACAAGGACTATACAGCACAGACTCGAGCAGCTGGAGCTTCCCAGGGGGGTAGGGAAAAGTACCCGTAGGATTATACAGCACACATGGGTTATGGAAGGTATTCAGGCTCAATTCAGGGAACCGGAGCACAGATCCAATTCCGTATTTGATTTGATTTGATGTGATATCCAATTCCGTAGATCAAGAGCCCCCTCACCAGCGTCAAGCAACCTCCCTCCAGGGGGCACTAGGGTCATAGAGCTGGGACACCTTCAATAATTTATTTTAATCAGAAGGAAGCGCTAATCTGGTAGGTGTTACGTAAGAGCCCCGGGTATGTAATCCACGGAGATTATTACGTTCATGGTGACGGAACCCTAACCCATAAGGGAAACAGGGCAAAAAACAAAATCCATATTAAATTTGGGGAAGCACTAAATCCACACAGATCATTCAGGACATGGAATGTAAATTAGTTTGACCAAAGGAGATAGGTAAAATTATTTCATACACTAAACCCACATGGGTCTTACAGTGCTCCGGGGATGAGTCAGTGGAGGGGTTTAACTGAAAATTTGAATGGGTACATTATTACAATCAAAACTAAGCGCTAAACCTACAAGGATCATACGGCGCTCAATAATCGATACACTAGGCTAATTTCCATTAAAAAGTTAAGTCTGCATTAAAAGTGGGTCGCTGAGCAAGTGAAGTGCGTTTGGTTCCTGTAAATGACAAAGTGTATCCTACGTGCCTGCTGATACAGGACAATCTACAGCAATATCCGAGGTCCTGAACTTTTCGATCTGTTGTCGCTGGAACCTGAGGTTAAGAGACTGGATCTGTTTCCCAGTTCAATCAGGCTGTGATGCATGCGTGAACCGGAGGGCCGCCAACAGCAACAGCCTGGTCGACCAGGCAATCAACAGGGAGACCTGGCCCAGGCCACACGAGTAGGAAATCTGAAACTGGTCACAAGTATTGACATAAGGTGGCCAAATGTTCATAAAAATGATTATGGGAGAGAATTATAGCAGTTTCTTAAATACTGTATTTAATAACGTTCTCAAACTTTTAAATTAACAAAATCCCTCAGAATACTATATAATTACACATGCATAAAATAAAAAACTTCGTAAAACATTAGATAAATTCAATAAATTCTTTAAATGAGTTTTGTTTTATTTCGTAGAAACCTGATTAGTATTTAAGAAAATGCTTTAAAATGGATTTAATGAACAGCAGTAAAAAATATAAATGTACTTAACAGATAAATGTAAATAATATATCAATAGCATGGACAAGTGATGA